CCTGCCCGCACAAGCCTGCCAACCTCTAATGCAGCTTGGGCTGAAGCTCTGAACACGCTGCTGGTGGCGCATCCGCAGCGTGTTGGTACGGCCTGACTTTTTAGTTGTCGTGCAGTAGGATAGCGGGGAGGCCCCTCTAATGTGTCGCCGAGACTTCCTCCCCACGCAGTTATCAGGTGGAGTGGAGCCGGTCAGGGCGCAGCTTGGGAGGCAGGGAGGCCAATAAGCCAAGCCAGGCCAGCTGTTCACACCACAGTCCTGGCCACCGGAAGCGGAGATGGAACACACAGGTTGGAGGCTGTTCCAGGCAGGCGTTGGCTAGATCCCTTCTCAACCAGAGTTGGCCGGGTGACACGTATTTGACACCCCAGCTACTCGGGAGGCTGAGATCTGGAGGATGGCAGTTCTAGGCCAGCCAGGACAAACAAGTTTGCGGGGGGAAAGCCGATGCAGTGTCACCTGTCTGTCATCCTAGCTACCCTGGGAGCATCAAATAGGAGCGTCACCGTCCAAGTATGAACCTTGGACAAAAAAAAAAAAAAAAGCAAAATCTCAAAAAAGCCAGTGTGAAAGAAGTCAGGAGTCATAATTACATTACTGGCAAGCACGAGGTCTTGAGTTCAGATCCCAGTACAGCCAAAAAAGAAAAGGAAATACAATAAAACCTGTGGCTCTCCTGGGAGCCAGGCCTTCCTTTCTGCTCCAAATGGAGGGTAGGATTAACACGGACGGGGTGGGGGCAGCAGTCTTGTTTTCAGTCATGGGGACAGGGCCAGGCCAGTGGGCTGGGGTTTGCTCTGGGGTCCTGCTGGCCTGGTTTGGGGGGGGGGATAGGGGCTACGTGGAAAAAGGTGGTGGGGCCAGAAGGATGTGTGGGGCACCGGCTGTGTGCTCAGACCCTTCTCCGGTGCTGGTGAGAGGAGCAAAGTACCACTGCAGACATGGAGCAGAACAAAATTGTTCCTCCAGCACACACAGAGCAGGTGTACGACAGGATATGCTCTCCCCAAGTCCGAGACTTGAGTCAGAACACGGCTGACACGCACAGTTAAATTGAAATGCATCTATTCTTTACCTTCGAAATACGACAAGGACAGCGAATCTGATTTCTCATGTGTGTGTTCTCATCCTAATTGGGGAGAATTTCAGAACTTCACTGTGTGTCTTGGGCAGGGCTTCTTGCCATCTGGTATGGGATTAAAGCTCCACATAGCATCCGTGGTCAGCTGACGCTCAAGTTTCTGTGGCAAGCCCTATCTGGGAGTATCTCTACCTCACCAAATCTGTTTCCTTTCCATTTTTAGCCTCAGGGGGTCTGGTGGGGACATTTCATGGAAAGCAAGTTGCAGAGCTGTTGGCTTTAGGAAAGCCCTAAGCAACAGGTCCTCTACACCTGACATCGTTGTAACATTGACAAGGCACCAAACTAGTAAATCAGAACCTTAACCATCCCTTTTCCTAAACACTGGTGGGTTTTCAGTACCTTGACTGAGCCTGTAAATACCATGGCGGGAGGGGGCAGCTCCCTGTGCTTTAGGGTCACCTGAAGCTCCCCTGTTCTGGTAGATGCCTGGCTTGAGGTTCCGAACCTTCACTTACTGGGGAGGCAGAGCTGGGAGGATCAGGTCCAAGGCCAGCCCTCGGCCCAGGAGAGCTAGTGCCCCGAGAGGCCATACCTGAGCAGCCCTGAAAGCAGGAGGGACTGGGGCTGAGGGCAGCGCAGGGGTCCAACAAGGAGGCCCCGGGTTCACGCCCCCTGTGGTACGAGGACCCGTGTGTGTGCATGCGCACACGCGTGCACACACATACACACGTGGAAGGCAAAAAGACAAGACGCTTGTACTTCAAAATGAAGTGTTTGGCTGTAGGAACAAGCATTCTGCTACTAGGAATTCTGAATGCCTCCATTGCAGTCATTTCTGTGTTTACAGCTTCTGCAATACAGAACGTGTAACTTAGCTTCTTCCATACACGAGGTACATTTGTCCAGATACACCAGGCCTTTTTCCTGAGCCACAAGAATTCTGTGCATTCTATCTGTGTAGATGAGGTTTCATCTTTGTCTTTAGTGGTGCTGTTGCTAGTCAGGGTGGGGGATTGATATTTACAAATTGTTTCTCACTTCTATACCTACCCAGTGCATCTGGCCTAATAGGTAAACTGATCTCTGCTGAGGGAGGAGGTGTAAACTGGGGCCTGGTCATGTGATGTGGGCCCTGTTTCATCCTCAGGAGGAGGAACTAACCTATTTGTTAGTTTTCTTTTTCTCCCAGGTGCAGAACTGGGGGACTAGGAGCTGATCTGGGGGACTAGGAGCTGATCTGGGGGACTAGGAGCTGATCTGGGGGACTAGGAGCTGGTCTGGGGGACTAGGAGCTGGTCTGGGGGACTAGGAGCTGATCTGGGGGACTAGGAGCTGATCTGGGGGACTAGGAGCTGGCCTGGGGGACTAGGAGCTGATCTG